CTTTTACAATCAAAAGGAATTATAATTAAATTTCATATAGAAAACCATTTTTATCCAAAATTTCAAATAATACATAATTAATTGGTACCAATTTTGTGGGCGTTGTAGGGGTGCTAATCTTTCTCCACATATAATTGACTCTCAAATTGGATTTGTTTTCATAGACCAAAATGATCTTTTTAGTAAAGCCTTAAACTCATTTTATTCTTTTATTAAAAGATAAATTTTTTAGGTGGCCAATTAGACCCTAATAAAGGATTGGTGGTGACTCTTGTGTTTTTCATTATTTTTAAATTCTTAGGTCTAGCAGTCAAGTTTCTGGACTGATACATTATCACAACTATAAATCTACTTCAGGTTGTCTTACAAAGTTGGGGAAGTTTACTACTATGGGTTCATCATCCTTTTCATTAGAATCCTCTATCCTAAATCTCTTAAAGAATAGATTACATTACATCCTTCTTTACCTTGTCTTTTTGGATTGGTTTCAGTATTGCTAGGCAAGGTACCTGTTGGGTGGTTTACCATTGCTTAGGTGAGTTAACCTATTTAATTTTCTAAGTTTTTTATGGATGCAGGTTGACTTTGGATATTAGTATTGTTGGCTTGTATTAGTTGGATCAACATGTCCTCAAAGGTGGGTTTCTTTTCTTAGGATGGGTTATAAGTAGGTGGATTAGGGTGGTAGTTGTTGTTTTCGTTGTTGTTTTGGTTGTTGGTGGGTTGGTGGTTTGGTTGGTTTCAAGAAAAGTTTGGGTGGTTTCACCATCCAAGATTGTAGGTATTGTTATAGAGATTGTTATTTGGTTTGATTTGTTAAATGTATTAGATGGTTCTACCCTAAATTGGCATCTTTTTAAGGAATGAGGTCCTTCACATATATTATAGGAGATAAAAGGGCTTTATATAGTATTCACATAGTTGGCTTGGGATTAATTTCCTAAGGCTTCAATATTTTTATTAAGGGTGGCTAGTTGGGAGTTGATAGAAGTAATAGCATCAACCTTAAATAAACCAGCAGACTTTTTGCTAACCTTTCTTTCCATGCCCCACTAGTAATTATTAATAGCCATCTCTTCAACAAGTTCATTTACTTCCTTATGAGTTTTACTTATAATAGCCCCTCCAGCAGCTGAATTTAAAGTGTTTTCATAGGTGGTGTAAGACTATTTTAAAAGATTTAGATCTGGAGCCACTATGATAGTCCATGATGTGGGCATTTTCCTAACAACTCCTTAAATCTCTCCCATCCATTATACAAAGTTTCACCATCAAATTGCAGAAAAAGTGGTGATCTCATTCCTTAGCTTTGTTGTCTTTGCTGGTGGGAAAAATTTTTCTAAAAACTTTTGGACCAAGTCATCTTAAGTTGTGATTGAACTAGGGGATAAAAAAGACAACCAACTTTTCATCTTGTCCTTAAAAGAAAAAGAAAATAATTTTAGTCTAATAGCTTCATCAGAAACACCATTATAGTGAAAAGTGTCACATAATTCAAGAAAGTTAGAAATGTGGAGATTTGGATCATCGCTTGCTAACCCTCTAAACTATACAAAAGTTTGGACCATTTGTATGATTGAAAGCTTTTATCTCAAAGTTGTTGGCTTGAATAGCTAGCCTTCTAATAGATTATTGAAAACAATCTTCATTAGGAACTGCATAGTCTTTTAAAATTCTTTGCCCTTTATTAGTTACATTACCCATTGAAGATAGTGCAAGTGGTGTCGATTGCTTTTTCCTTCTTCATCAAAAGGTTTTTTCAATTTTTTGATCAACAGGAGCTAAGTTAACACTTTTAAATCTATGAATACAAACAAAAAAAGATCAAAGAAAAGTAAATAAATAAAAAAAAGAGTTAGATTATAAAAGATTAGAAATTCTTTATTGATATTGTGAATACCACTATAATCCTCAACAACAGTGCCAAAAACTTGATTGCTGCTTTTTGTATATAACCTACAAGTGCACATATCAAGTAATAAAGTGGAGTATTCTAGTATCATTTTCTTAGGGATTATAGAATGTATTGTTGAGTTGCTCATAAGTACCAAAGGCCAAACCCAATAGATTGTATCTAAATAAATGGGATTTCAAGGTTTGGTTGCAGGGAAAGATAAAGATTAAAGGTGATGTGTAAGCATGATCTTAACTTCACCAACTATCATTTGGGAAGTAAAAGACTAATGCCAAAATCTAAATCTAATAAAACAATATTTAAAAGATCACAAAGTAAAGAAATTAGAGTAGGCCGAATGCTTAAAGAAATCTTGAAACAAAGACTACATGAAAATGAATTTAAAGAACAAGAAAATAAGTGTAGGCCAAATCTTGCAAGAATTTTAAAAAAAGCTTCGATTGATCTTGAAAATAAAAATAAGGCTTGCCAAATTTAAAGAAAAGAAAAATAAGAATTGAAACTTAAAAACAAGAAAAGAAAGAACTTGAAAATAATGCTTCTTGAATTAAAAGAATTAAAAAAAAAAAAAAACAAAAGCTTTTTGGTTATTAGCAAATCTATCACCTAAACCAATAACTCACCTAAAGAACTAAAGAAAAGAAAGAATAGAGGAGAAGTGAGGGATGATGAAAATGAGTGAATAGCCTCCCTATTTATAGTGGAGGGTTCGGCCAAGGGGAGATAGGCTTCACAAGAGTTTGTTTTCAATTCAAATACAATTAGATAAGCTTAATCTTGATCTCTAAAGCTTCATGGCTGAATGAAACTCTACATGGTTGAATGTTCTTGGATGGATGGTCTTTTAGTGGTTCAATCATGACACTTGCTTTCATCTTAATCAAATCTTTAATAATCTCTTTCATTAGATGTTACAAAAACAAGTTCACTAAACATGACCTAATATAAGAATACACTATAGTAGTTCACATAGTATCTATAGCTACATTTTCATGTGATAGTTGTATAAATGATCCTTTGACTTGAGATTATTTATGATCTTATATGATGAATATTATACTTTGACTTTACTTATAGTTCTAACCAAGAATGCTCCAGTCGAGCATTGTTGTGTATAACATGAGACATATGAAAATGCATGAAGTAATCAAGATGGGATTCATCACCTTGTGTGATCAAAAGAGAATCTCTACTAATCTTGATTGAATGAACTTGAGAAATCTTTTACCAAAGTAAAATAAGAGTTTAGAATTATTTTAAAGCTTATTTGTGAGTTAATGTCAAGGACAAGACTAAACATGGTTAAACAAGATTGAGTAGATATTAAACCATACTCAATGTCCAAATTGAGATAGTATGTGATGAAAGAATATTAATTATACACTAAAACCATTCATGGATAGGTTGTCAAATCATATTGACTTTTCTCTAGCAATTGGGGATCATGGCAATAAAAGTAGCTTTGACCATGATCTATAACCTAAGATTGGCTAATTAAAGTGTTGGTGATGAAGGCAAAAAGTTTGTTTCATCCATAACCGAATATTAAGGCTTACAATGCTTATGTTTATTACCAACATGCTAAAGAACCTAATAGGTCACAAATAATAGGACAATTCTGAAAGATTAAGATTGGGATAAATTAAGTTGAACTTAATTTGATTTTAGAATGACCAAAAATAGTGGAAATAAAAACAAGAGAAAAAGTTTCTCTTGTTTGGTACATTGGCTAGCATAAAGTTAATTGTGAAAAATCACATTCTAAACATTAAACCTAATGTGGCCAAATGCTTCCCCTATAAAAGGAACATCTAGCCGCCCCTTCTTGTAACCAACAAAGTATCTACTAGAGCAAAAAATAATAAAAAAAAAAAACTAAGAGAAAGAAGTTTCACTTAAGAAAATATAAGAAGTCTTGTAAACACTTACTAACTAGAGTGTGGCTTTGAGTTCTATCAAACTTTAGAGAAAGTTCTTTCACAAGAGTTCGTATGGATCACCATTAAAAGATGAACACTTGGGCAGCTTCTTGGCTTGAAATCTATTTGAAAGGTCATTAATTGAACCAAGAGATTTTCAGCATTCAAGGTAACACCCTTAGTCGAAACTATGCATACTTGTATATATTTGTTATTTGTATAATCTTATTGATTGATCTTGGCTTTAGGAAATTAAATTTTTTTAAAAGTTTGCTACTTTAACTATATATAATGATGCATAATTCCCCACACTCTAAGCTTGTAAAAACAAATTCGATGAACTCTTATTTGGTGCAAAGTGAAATCAGCACAAGAGGTTATATTCTATTAGCTAAAACTAATTATTGTGTTTGTATAATCTTGTTGATTGATTTTGATTTTAGAGAGTTGAAAAAATTTTAAAATTCATATGCTAATACTTTGTATAATGATACACAAATGCCTTCAGGATGTTCCAAGTTTTCCTATTTATTTTCTGTCTTGGTTAGTTCTTAGGCAATCTTGAGCATTATTTAGTTTTTACAGTCTTTTTAGATTATAACCAAACCTCTATATTTCTTAGGTGAATTTTTTAGAGTAGTGAGTTTTTTTTAAGTTATGTATCCTTAATTAAAAGTCTTAAGGTGATGTTTTTGTATCTTTTGGATCATAATATAAGTGGTGAACTTTCTCATTCAAAAAAAGAGCCATTCCTTTTATTAACATTTTTTGTGAGTCATTTAGTTTGTATTTCTTGTTAATTTTCTATTTCAAACAACCTTGAAACACTTAAACACTTTGTGGATAATAATAATGATAAAGAATTAATTAGGATTTTTATTGAAAAAATAAGTATACACGCATCCATTATTGCAATGAGGTTAACAAACATTAAGATTATGGATCATGTTACTTATTGGATTAGCTTAATTTCAAGTTTGGATTGAATTCTCACAAAGTAATTTATTTAAGGATTCAATTATTTAAAAAAATTTTGTCCACTAAATAAGGGATAAAAGATGGGAAATGAGATGGTGAGATTTTACCTTCCACTTTACATATCTTTCTAAACCTTTTTAATCACTAGACAAACAAGCTAAAGACTCAATATTTAAAGTTTAAATAGAAGTTAGGTTCTCTATTGAGGTTTTCTATATATTACAAGGGTTTTCGACATGCTTAACCTTTTCTTAAACAAAGAGAGACAAACAAGGTATGAATGCCATTTAGCCCAAACATAAATCTGAAGGCCCATATTTCACAGCCCAACATATGGAACCCTACATCCGAACGGAAAAGGTGTGAAGACGGAAAAATCTTCCTCACAAAATCAATCAGAAAATCGTTACCTATCCTGGAAGCATCGCAGCAGATTAGCAAAGAAGAAAAATCAGACAAAGACGAAACAAATCGAGGCAACAATACGAAGAAAGAACCACAGTAATAGTAGTACAAAAAAAAAAAAAAGGAAAAAACTAGGAAATGGCGGAGAACAAGGAATCGGTACCGGCAAAGTATGACGTTAACGCAAAATGGAACGCCTGCCTCGATCTGACTGTCCGCCGCTTCGTTTACTCATCCTTGGCTGGCGCTTTTGGCGGCCTCCTTTTCTTCAGTTGTCTCTCTTCCCCCAAATTTATCATTTTATTTTCTTGTAAGATATTGTTTTTGAAATGCTCGATTGCATCCTACCTAGTAAGTAGAATTTGGCATTTTTTTAGTTAAGTGCTCGATTGGGTTTTAGGATCTGTGGTAGTTAATGATTGCACATTGGCCTACACATATTGTTTTCTGATTTTGGTTGCTGCCATTTCCCAATGTTTTTTGTTTCAGTACCGATTAGATGTGATGCCGCATTTATATGATAATGTCAGAACATGGATTGAACTAAGTCTATTTTGAATGCTAAAATTCTTGTAATTGTTTCATTAGAATATTTTCAGTGCCGTTTTGCACCTGCAACATGGCCTATGTCCTGGTAGTGCTTGCTTTTCAAGTTTTAAATGCACATGCCCCACATTCTTAGATACTTTAGTATCCATTTAATTGGCAACATTTTAGACTAAGTGGCTTGCTTAAGGAGCAATGTATGAGTGACAATACCTTATCATATCATGCTCTTGTCTTAAGATATTCGAGCAGTGCTCACATTCCTGCATGTTTGTTTTATTCACCTACTTATATTCAAACACCAAAACTAGCTCCTTTTTACCACTGTTGTAGATTGCCTAGAATTGATGAACTTGATTAAGGCTTTGCTTTGCGGGAGGATGGAAAGCAAAAGGTTTTTAATTTGATGCCTCAACCACCTTTCTCTTTTGTAGGTTAACCAGTGAGTTAAAACTTCTCAATCATTCCTATAAAGTAAAGCCTAAATTGTTAAAGTGATAATGCATTTGAATTTTTAATGGATGTTTTTCTATGTTGTAGACAGAGTACTGAGTTCTTCCCTTTTGAATTGCATTGAATTTTTATAGTAGTCTTCTAACCAAGCATTGTTAGTTCTGTACCTTTCCATCTTTGTGCTTTTTTTTTTTTTTTCTTTTCTTCCTTCCTTGAATTCATAATATTGATGGATTTTGATTTGTCATACCAGGGAGTCCAGTGACTCGATGGGTGTCTGTAGCTTTTGGTGCTGGGATTGGAATTGGATCTGCATACACAGATTGTTCTCATATTTTTTATGAATATCCTGCAAAGTTGGCTCCTCCTAAACTTGATGATGCTCCTGTTCCCCAGGTAGGACTAATGTTTTATTCAACAATGAGTTTAATCTTTCTGGATGCCTTCCTTTCCTAGGTTGCACATTCATGTTTTAGTTGTTTTTGTGGTTATCCTTTGTCTATGCAAATATTAAAATTTTCTTAAACCTGTTAACTGTTATTGAAAAGTGCCAAATGGGTGTATGTGCATCACGGTGATTCTGGTTTAGGTTATGATATGAATGCCCGATAACCTGTTTAGGATCAGCAACTTCAACACCCATATTCAACTAACTCTATTAGAGCCTTATAGGATTCATCAACCTTAATCCAATAATTGGTGACGATGAGTATATTTTATCCTAAGATAATTTCAGATAACAATAACTAGAATTAAAAAAAAATGATATATTTTATTAAGGGATAGTGTGGCACCGATGGATCAAATTTAGTCATTGAGGCATATTTCAATTAATGAACTATTGAGCTTGGCTTGTATAATTGTTTAAAATATCAGAATCCATTTAGGTATGAATTATTTTTCACCAAGGGTATGGCCTATTCATAGGCCCTTGACATTTGCTTAGCCCTTGTAAATAAAAGATAATGATCAATATGGAGATACACTGAATGGGTTGTAAAGAATTTTATGGAGAGAAGAGCTCTACCGCTCACCTTTTTATGCAAAAATATATGATTGATCATATCACTTATATTTGAATAGGAACTGAAAGCTTCCTTTATAAATTATTGCCTAGTTAGGCCAAGAATGTTGTGTGACTGCTGAAAGGGATTTGTAAATACTAAGTTCAAAAAGTGGGGAAAAAAAAAAGAAAAAGCTTGAGCACTATGACTCTTTGGTGCTTATTTTTGAATTCCACTGAGTTCTTGGTTCTAAATCTATTGGGGAGAGAATGATTTTAAGTTTGTCTTAATAGTTCACTAAATAGTGGTTGACATGAACTCCAATATTAGGGTACTAGGTGATCCTAAGAGCAGCTATGATTTATGTAGTTCAAGTTTATCTGACCAGGATAATTTAGATTTTTGGCTCAACTCCTCTTCTTTGTGGCCTTTGCTGGCACTATCTCTGCATATAGTCTTACTTCTAGCTGGATCTTGCTGTAAACTGCTAAGCCAATATGTTTTATTATTAGTACTTTGCATTTGAACATGTATTCATTAATAGGAAGGGAGGAAGAGATAAAGAATATCTCTTAGGGTCAAACACATAATATTTCAATATTGGAAGCTGGATTTTTTTTGGTATACGGAAAAGTTGGAATGTATCAGTTTTGTCCCAATTTGTGACAAGAAATTTTCTCTACTATGCATGTGAGCTGTTTGAGTAGAGTCTTTTGGTTATTGCAACTGGCATAAAGGCATTGACATAGAAAAGAGACGGGAAAATATCTTTAAGTCAATTACCAACCCAGTATTTATACCTTATATTATTGAAACATTGAAAAGTGTAGGGTACTCTCCTTTCTTGCCTCTCTTTCTCTCTCTCTCTTGGCCCCCCTTTCTTGCTGTCCAACAAATATTTTAGCCATCTCTCTGGTGCATATCTTTTCAATCTTATCTATCTTTAATAACTACTGTGGACTGAAACAACCACTATATATTATTAGACAACTGGGAAGTTAGATATGGTACTCCAAAAAGATGAAATTTCCCAGAATATTAACAAATTGAACTAAATGAAATTTGCTTAGAAAATCTTAAAGTTTTATGAAAAGCATTTAAATGGAAAAGCTTTCTACTTTACCAAATCTGCTGCGGCCAAGGAAAAAAAATCTAGTGACTGTGCCCAAGCATTGACAATTTCTCAGGTCACAATGGCCAGTTGGTTATTGAGTCCCAGTCTCTCAGATGATGATTGTGTAGGGCATTGGCAGTTTAAGTGCTATTTATGTCCTGAGTAAATGAAGTTGTCAAATTTTCTCACACTTTTAGTAGCAGCCTATTAATGTTGGCTACTTAAAAATCAGCGCATGAAAGATGTTTGTCAAATTTAATTTATGTGAATAGTACTACACTTAATATGTGTTTTAAGAATCTCTATGAGCAAGTTCATTTAGTTCTCTTTCTGTTTCCAGGAGCGACAGGAGTGAGCTGATGTTGTTGAAGTTCCTGAAAGTTGATAGGTTTAAATTCAGAATTTTCATAAGTTAATATTGTTAGTCTTTTCCCCATCAATGTCTTTTGAATTTGTAGTACAAACATTGTTGTTGGTGGGTAAACAATTAACATGAATGCCCAAAAATTTAGTATGAATCCTGTTGTCTTTTCCTCTGCAGTTCTATCATGAGTAAACAAAATTTGGAGGGGAAAATGGAAATAATTCCTTCTGTTGCAGGCTTAAATTTTGTGTGATTATTGTTACGAGTTGCACTTGTTTAGTCTGCTGAGTGCTGATATGTAGAGATACATTTCAGCTTCCTCATGGCTTAGGAAAATTAAGGATGTATGTGCAGGTTCTACTCTGTATCTGTTTATCTTTTATTTTTTTCTTCTCACAGCCCTCTATCTATAAACTGCTTTATCATTTTAGTACAGGACAACACATGTAGAGCTGTCGGTTGTGGCTAAACTTTGGGTAGACTGAGTAAAATGGAGTTTTGACCTGGGTACAATACATAAGGTTTTAGAGAATCTAGATTAGCTTATGTTTGCAAATTGGGAGGGGAAGAAGTAAAAATGGAAGTTTTAGAGGGTTATGGATGAATGCAATTATCACTCCAAAAATGACATCCTTTTTTTAAACTGTTGCTGAAACAGAGAATGTTCCATCCCATCCCATTTTTTCTTTTCCTTTCCTGAAATAGAGCAAGCTTAGTGTCGTGGCCTAGTGAGGAGTAATGAATTTCACGTGGAACAAAACCTTGAGGCCTAACAATGTCAAAACAGACAATATATCACAAATCAGAATGGATTTTGACATTTGGCATCAGAGTTGACTTTGGGGTACTAACCACGTGCCATTGAGGATAGTGGACTCTCGTTAGAGCTGGAGAAGATGTCATTGTCTTAGAGAGGAGCCATAAACTCACATCGGTTTTGTACTAGATTTGGTCTTAAGATATAAGTTTTCACACTAAGATTCTTTTGTGAAATTAAACCCTGAGATGCAACAGGGTTAAAGGGCATAATATTTCAAAAGTTTGTGACACTTAGCCTGAGCAGTGAGAACCCAAATTGTGGTCAATTTTCTTTGCAAATGTAAGAAGCTAAGATTAAACCTCTTTTCATGTTTAAGTTAGGCCTAACTTGTGGAAAGAAAAGAAGAAAAAGATCATTTTAAAGCAACCTGTCCATAACAGCGGATATTGTTTCTTGCTTTGTCATCCTTGTGGGGTGTATTAATATTTTTATTTTCGAAAAAAGGTATTTTTAATCTTTTTCCTTAAATAGGTTCTTAAAGGCCATGCCAATAACGTATCATCATCACTACATGACCAGATTGTCTATGTGGCAGTTGAGTTAATTTTTTTACCTCTTCAATTTTTATTCTCTTGCAGTTTTTGTTTTTTTTTTTTTTTTTTACCATTCCACCGCTTCACTCTTCTATTAACCTTTTTTTAAAATCTTTTTGTACAGTGCTAAAATAATTTGAAGTTCTTTTATTACCAATATATTTTTACCCACGTCCAAAAGATGCCAAATTATCATTTGAAATTCTCGCTAAGAAACACGAACTGAAAGTGACTTCACATTGAATGCAATATTTCTGTTCCTTTGTTTACACGAACCCTATCACGATACCTTGATACTTCATTCGTTGTGTAATTTATCCTTAAAGCATGGGTGTTTTTGTTGGATGTCAAGAAGGTAAACTTGAACATGAGTGGGATGCGTAGAAACTTGAATTTTAATGGAACTTGATTTTGCAAAACATCTTAAATTTGGATGGATTTTACGAAGAAGTGGGCATTGCTATTTCATGTTTAATATAATGTCCTAAAGATATGTGAGTTGAAATTAATGATTGTTTGGTCGATGAGGGAGGAGATTTTGACTTTTGAGATAGTTTTATAAGGGTTTTTTTTTTCTGTTTTTTTAATTGTTTGTTGTGAGAGGTCAGGGACAATGAAAATTACAAGCTTTTCAACATTGGAAGGCGAAGGGAATGATTGTTCATGGAAACAAAGGAAAGATAAAAGTGAGGCATGATGAGGAACTTTGTTTTTTATTCATGCAACTAGTTTAGATTTGGATTTTTTTTTTCTTTTTGTCTAACCTTATCATACCAATCAATTTGTTTTTTTCAGTTTCCACCGTTAATATTGGATTTGACGATATTGTTCATTAAAAGAAAAGAAAAACATATGGATTTAGAGTTTAATTTAATTTAGAAGCTTTTCAATATTGGAAGGCGAAGGGAATGATTCTTCATGGAGACAAAGGAAAGATAAAAGTGAGGCATAATGAGTAACTTTGCTTTTTATTCTTGCAACTAGTTTAGATTTGGATTTTTTTTTTTGTCTAACCTTATCATACCAGTCAATTTGTTTTTTTTCAGTTTCCACCGTTAATATTGGATCTGACGATATTGTTCATTAAAAGACAAGAAAAAATATGGATTTAGAGTTTAATTAAATTAGTTTATGTAATCACTATTAAAAGATGGCGTTCAAGAAATTTGTTATTTGAATTTTAGTACTTATAACCATTCTCTTATCCCATATTGCAGTTTATATATATATATATATATATATATATATATATATATAAAAGCATATAAAGCATATAAGAAAGCAAGAAAAAAAAAAGGAAATGCTAATTCGTTGGCAATTTAAGCACTTAGACAAGACATGGAATTTACACTACCCTCGATGAAAGGGAAAAAGAAAGGAAGAAATGATGTGGAAGGAAAAATTACCTTCTTTTTTTTATTGATTAGGTAGGAGAGATATAAGAAAAGGAAAGAAAATGACTAGATTTCAACTTTTCTCTTTTTTTCAAATCTAATCCTTCCAAATGTAGGAGGAAAATACTCATTTAACTTAAGTTAATAATTTTATTGACAATTTTACTCTTAATCTCTTTTTTTTCCTCTATTTTCGTTTCATGCCAAACACAATGATGAAAAAATAACTTTCCTTTGTCACTTTTTGCCACTTTTTTTCACTTTCTTGCTTACTTACCAAACAATAGTGTTAGAAAATTTCCCAAACTAAGTATTAAGAAATCTTAATTCTTGAATAGGAGCATTTTTATTTTTATTTTCCAAAATAAGATATTTTTTACAAATGAAGACAAGTCACCTCAACTCTTAACTTCACCTCTATCTTGGTTTTCACCTTCATTTTTTTTCTATCTCTCGTAAAAATTATGCTTTCTTTTTTTGTTTGAGTGGAACAAGTAACAACTTATCACTTTTTATCCTCATTCTTTTTCTTCTTGCAACCACCATTTCCAAGTTTCCCTATATTTGTTGAACACCCAAAAGCTCCCTTTTTTTTTTCTTCCTTTAAAATTAACAATATTGTAATAACAAAAACATAATAGAACGATCTTTCCTTTTTTTTTTCTTGTTATATCTAGATCTCTTTAATTTGTTTTTACAAACATGGGTTCCATTTCTTTTGCCAATGATCAAACCATGAAGATATTTGCTTCTTCAAATTCTTTTATTCTTTTTAAGCAACCCTGCATTATCTCCTAATACCATCATTCTCGTAAAGTAATACCTTCTATATATCTCTTCAAGAAAAGCTCTTTTTGTCGTGTTTCTAGACTCCTGGCCAACTCTATTACTGTAACCCTCATTTTTCTTTTCTTATTCTTTTGGGTTTTTTTTGTGAAAAAAATATTGTTTTTTATATGGGTTTTCGTGATTCTCGTTTGGTTTTTTTTTTTTAGTCAAGAAACGAAAATTATACCATGGGTGACTTTATAATAAAGAAAAAAAAAAGAATTTACATGTTGTCAAAACTACAAGTGTGGAAGGTAAAATGAGGACTTAAAAAGTGTGAGCTAGAAAAACATTATTAGCATAAAAGATATAGGTAAATTGGTGCAATTTAAGAAACAAGAATACAAGGTTCTTCATCAAGCTACAATGCGAAGAAAGCAATTTAATAAATTTTTAAGAACTAAAACATGATAATGGGGTTTAATTAAAAAGGAATATGAAATAATAGTGCTTCAGGAATTTTTAGATTGAGCTTTTCACTAGTAGAGGTAATGGAAATAGGAAAAAGGTATTAGATAGAATACCAGGTATTATTTCTATAAATGTCAATTGGAAATTGATTGCAACAATTACTGAATAAGAAACTATTAAGGCTATATTTTGAATTAAGGATTTTAAAGACATCTAGGCCAAATAAATTCAATGATTTTTTTATCAAAAATTTTTGGGAACTATTAAGGATGATGTGATAAGGGTGTTAAAGAGTTTTTTTTTCTTTCATTTAAGAAAAATGTTAAAGGAACTGAATGGTATTGATATAGCACTTATTCATATGGTGAAGGGGCCTAAAAATGTGTTTAGCTTTAGACCAATAATCTTGTGTAACTATAGTTATAAGATCATATCCAAAGTTATGGTTACTAGGCTAAAACCTTTTTTGAGATATATCATTCTTGAGAATTAAAGTGTTTTTTATGGAAATGAGGGAAATATATAATCATATTTTTATTGCACAAGAAGCTTTTCATCATATGAAACTAAAAAAAAAGGGAAAATAATTTGAGATGGCTATGAAGATTAACATGAGCAAGGATGATCAGGTGGACTTAGGGGTTTCTTCAAGCTATTCTATTAAACTTGGAGTTTGACAAGACTTGGATAAATGGATCATAAAATGTGTAAATTTTGTTTCTTAATCTTTGATCATAAATGGTAAGCCTTGTAGAAAGATTTATCTTTCCAAGGGTCTAAAAGACAAGTAAATCCTCTATCTCCCTATCTTTCTTCATAGTAATACATGTCTTGTCTAGTTGATCCATATAGATATTTCAAACAATCAAAGTGCAGATGTTAAACTTAATAGATATGGCTATCTTTTTTTTGTCACATGTTTTTTTTGTTGACTCAATATTTTTTTTGAAGGTTAACACTAAAAATTGCAAGAGAATGTTTAATATGATTCAAAAGTATTGCCAAGCTTATGGACCAAAGATGAACTTGGAGAAGTCAAGTTTAAGTTTCAACAATAATGTGCCACAATAAATAAAAAATAGATCAATGAGTGTATAAGGATTAAAGTAGTTGATAATTGTAAACCTTTTTAGGTGTACAGTCTTTTTAAGAAAAATCAAATAGTGAGATATTGAGGTATATTAAGAACAAGGTTTTTTTTTTTTTGTTACCAATAAGGACAAAGTCTTGGCAAAGCTTAAGAATCGGAAGGAATAA